TTTGGTAAAGAAACTGAGTTTTCCCAGGACTGCATGGTTATAGAATACAAAATCAAAATGTGAAAAAGTAGCATTAAAAGACAAAAGCTTTCAACACAACCTCCACTATATTGAAGACACTTTAGTCAGCTATTTAGCCACTCCCTTGGGAATACGACAGTGACCGAGGATACCCAGAGTGCCCCCCTACAGAATCTCGAAGCTTGGGAAACAATGTGAAGTCCCAGGGACTCTGAGGTGGACACCTAATGATTGTCCATCAGAACTGTGGTGAAAGGAGCAAGGGACACTGTTGTGGAGGCCTTTTTTCTGTACCTTTTTTCTGCCAGGGCTTTGGTTGATTTTCTGAAAACACTCTCATAGCCAGGGGAGGTTCCATTCTTTGACCTCCAGAAAACCAACAGGCAAAATGCCTTGAGCATCCTTGAAGCACCCTGACTTTTGCCCTTGCTGACTCTGCTGTCCTTTGACCTCCTCCTCCCGTAACCTTCACTTTGATTGTGTTTTGTCTTCCAGCTCATACTGGTGAAGTCGAGTTTCATTTTGTGTTCCAATTGTTCCAGTTCTTCAAAGCAATACTTCCAGGTCTTGAAACCATAGGTTTAGTTTTTCTCTCTTCTTTTTTTTTTTTTTTTTAAATACTCATTTTATGGGGTCAGTGCGATTGCTCAGGTGGCTAATGCTGGTGTCCTATAGCAGATTTGAGTTCCAGCTCCTCCACTTCCCTTCCAACTCCCTGCTTGTGGCCTGGGAAAGTAGTCAAGGCCTTGGGACTCTGTACTCATGTGGGAGACCTGGAAGAGGCTCTTGGCTCCGAGCTTCAGATTGGCTTAGCTCTGGCTGTTGTGGCCAGCTGGGGAGTGAGCCAGTGGATGGAAGACCTTTCTCTGCCTCTCCTTTTCTTTGTAGATTTGCTTTTCAGATAAAAATGAAAAAAATCTTAAAAAAGAAAAGAAGGTAGCAAACCAGTTCCAAAATTCACATGGAAATGCAAGGATCCAAACAAGTTAAAACAATTTTGGGAAAGAACAACGTTATCCAATTTCAAGACTTAAACAGAGCTACAAGGAGAGTAATCAAGAGAATGGAATTAGACATTAGGGAAAATAAAATTCAGGCAAGGAGAAATGGCTGGGGAGAAACCCCATACAAAACAATGTTGGCAGGACCTGGCACAGTAGACTAGTTGCTAACGTCTTCATCTTCCATGCACCAGAATCCCATATGTGCACCGGTTCATGTCCCGGCTGCTCCATTTCCCTTCTAGCTTTCTGCTTGTGGTCTGGGAAAGCAGTAGAGAATGGCTCAAAGCCTTGGAGCCCTGCACCCATGTGGAGATCTGGAAGAGGCTCCTGGCTCTTGGCTTTAGATCAGCTCAGCTCTGTCCATTGCGGCTACTTGGGAGTGAACCAGTGGATGGAAGATCTTTATCTTTCCTTCTCTCTGTAAATCTGAGTTTCTAATAAAAATCAATAAATCTTTTTAAAAAGTTGGCAAACATGTATAGCTGTTGGGATTGACTGGGGGAAAGGGTATGGCAGTTGGCCATAAAGTTAAACTATTCTGTGACCCAACAGTTATTACATAAAAGGACTTATGCAAAATATCCTTATTCAGGGGAGGCCCATGATGGAAAAAAACCCACAGGGATGAATAAATAAATTATGCTATCTTTATACTAAGCCATAAAAAATGAATTATTGATATGTGGAACAGTTTGGGTGAGTCAACATTGGTAAAAGAAGCCAGGCACAAAAGAGCCCAGGCCTTCTGGTTCCATTTATGGGAAGTCCCAGCAGACACAAAATTAATCACTGGGGGAAAGAAATTAGAGCAACAGTTGTTGATGGGGAGAGCAAAGGGGCTGGTGAAAAGAACTTTTTTTGAGGTAACTGAAATGCTTTCTGTCTTAATTGGCATGTGGATTCTATTTTAGGAATCATTCAGTTATACTCACATACTTGCATTTCACTGTGTGAAAACTTTATCCTGAAACCTTGAGCCATCTCTTCTCCACACAAGTACACACACAGTCACTGGAACTAACTGAACTGCAGAACAATGAAAATACCACTTTTCAGTGAGTGTGTGCAACAGTTGCAGCTTGTTGCCATGTGTTTGGGGATTTCCCTAGTTCATAGCAGTCACAAAGCTATTTGACAACATCCTACCCTATGGGACAAGTAATGAGCACTGGGTGCTCACCAATTGGAAAAATAAAAAATGCATTGGCCATACCAACTATCAGACAGGAGCGAATGCAAAGCAAATTGAGTTACCACAATCCATATGGACAATCCTCAGAAATGTATCATTGAGTGAAAAAAGATATGAACAATCGGGGCTGGTAATACGGCACAATGTGTTAAGCTACTGCCTTCAATGCCAGCATCCACAGAGGATGTTGGTTTGTGTCCTGACTCTTCCCCTTTCCATCTAGCTCCCTGCTAAAGGCTTAAGAAGAGCAGCAAAAGATGGCCCCTACCTCCCATGAGGAAGCTCTTCGCTCCTACTTTAGGTTTGACCAATTTCCAGCTGTTGCAGTCATTTGGGAAGCAAACGAGTATGGCAACACTCTCTCTCATTCTTGCTCTCTGGTTTCTTTTCATCATTCTACCTTTAATACAAATAAATAATTTTTAAAAACTATGTAAAAAAACCCACCTATTTCAAGTGACCATCTGTGGTGAATTGGGAAATCTAAAAGCCCAATTTGACAAACACCCTGTGTATTTAGGCTTTCATGGGAATAGTGTGAAATCTACATGCCTGTCTGCATACTTCTCTGGTGGCTCTGGTAAACTTAAGCAACGAATCAGTGGCTTCATTGTTTCCTCAGGAGAAGCCATAGGCCTGTTGCGGACCAGTTCTCAGCCTCCTGGTAAATGGCCATCCAACTCCCCGGGGCATCTGTCTTATTGGGTATTGAAATGAGATCTACGTAAGCTGAGGGTGAGGCTGAGAAAAATCAAGAATTCTTCGGTAGAGACAGTAGACAGGAAATGTGGAAGAATGTGTGCCTCCTGGGGGAACAGGGAGGCTCTGCTGGTTCTAGGCTCTGCAGCGCCTCCTCAGGAACTGGAGGGCTCTGCTTGCTCTCCTTTGCTGTTCAGTTTTGGTTTATATAAGTTTTTTTTATTTCATTGAGGTTAAATCTCTTCCTTTTTTAGTTACTCCTTTGGTTGTAAGTGGGCTTATTTAGAGAAGAGATGATAACTATTTGTCAACCAAACCACATCCTGGTCTCCTCCTCTTTGGGAAAAGCCAGGCTGTATTCTCTGGATACCCAGTTTTGTAAGATATTCTTGGGGGTTTGTTTAGTGAGTGGGGAGGAAGAAAGAAAGAGAAAGAAAGGAATAAGGTGGCTAAAAGTAGTGAGGCAAAATACAAAATGGAGTCAACATGAAGCACCAAGGTTGGCATCTGCAACTAGCTCTTGGCATGTAAGCTGGAGACGGAGCAGCTACCGCTGCCAGGAAGTTCAGAGCCAAGTTTGAAACTTGATTGTGGTAACGGTGGTTAACCAGCACCGGTGGAATATTTGTTGTCTTTGATCCTGATACTCTACTTGTATTTAAGCTTTCAGGGCTCATTTGTACGTGTTTTGTTGCAAGCTACCTCAACTTTCTTATGGGAAAAAATAAAGTATAATCAGGAAAATCAAAGCTCCAAAGGCTGTCTCCTGAAGAATGGATCCACTTCCTGTGGCACGCACCAAGCGGTGTTCATAGTTGTTCCTGTCCTGGACTCCAACCCTTGGTGCAATCTGTGTCCAAAGAGAGTGGATGTCTTTGCTTACCAGGAGTTAAGGGAGTTCATCACCCGATAGCCTTATGAAGGAGGTGCTTGGAGGAGCATACAGGTAATCAAACCTGTATTTGCAGTAGCATGCTGGGAGCCCGAGGACAGTGTGGCCTGAAGTACTCAGAGAAAATATGTTCTCAGTGAGAACTGAGTGCTGGCAGGGTTGCCGAGACAACTGAAAGGTTGGGTCCTTTCCTAGAATCTCACTAGCAGCTAACATAGCCACTTCCTCCCAAGTGTCACTGCAGCACATGGCTGCCCTGTACCTTCTATTCCTGCTTTCCCACACCCTGGTGGCTTTTGCTGCCAGGCAAAGTTGGAGCCAAGTGGAGGGTGTGTGTTGATGGCCTGGCAAACCGCTTGTGTAAGTTGCATCATCTCTTCTGACTGTGGTCACATGGTGCCACCACCTTCCCCAGCATCTGGGCAAGCCCTGTTTGCCTCTGGTTGACCTCTCTGGTCTTCAGATGGAACCTTCACAATGATATCAACTCACCTTGCACCTCTGAGACTTCTGAGTCACAGGCCACAGGCACAGCAAAGGAGCTGGAGAGCCTGCAGGAAGCAACACTTCCCAGAGAGACAGACTCATTGACATGTATATTGTACACGCACTCAGTACCCCTTCCAAGAAAGCTTCAGGTGCCTCCCCAGATGGGACTCAAGCTCGTATTCTCTGTCCCCAGTGGCCCTGCAAGACTGCCTTCTGTGACAGTAAGTGGAAAAAGGCGGGTCGGGGAAGGAGGCAGAAAACACTTTTTTTTTTTAAACTAATGTATTAATAAGCTTATTCTTCAGTCATAAAAAAAGAACATATTTTGGCTTTGAAACCAAGACATAAAATAATAAGACAAATAAGTGAGAGCCATCAGCTGAAAGTGGGGGAAGCATCTCTGGTTAACCGTCAGCGGACATTGCAGGCCTGGGGCTGGGCAGGGCTCAGGCACAGTGAGGAAAGGAGGGCAGGGGTTGGCTCGGGGGCCCTGGCCGCCTCTGGGACCTGCTGGGCTCCGGAGCACCCTTGGGCCTGTGCACCCAGGAGGTCGCTCCTCCCTTTTGAGCAGCGGGCTGTGATGCTGCAATGCTAGCTAGCCTGTCTAGTTTGTGGGGTAGTGTAGTGGTTTCACGTGTTTGACCTATGTATTTGCAATCTTTACACAATGAAAGTGCCCGAGGCAGCCAAGGCCGGAGCATCTCTATTTGTGGTCGGTGATCTGCTGCAGGCAGAGCTTCATGTAGGCATTCTTATTGCGGATCTCAATGACGGCGTCCCTCACGAGCTCGATGAACATTTGTGGCCAAAGCTTCTGCAAGGCCTCATTCTTCCTGTTGATCTCCGTGGCTCCCTTCACAAGGTCCTCCACGTACATCTTGCAGAATTTCTTTTTTTCCTTTATTTCCTGTTAAAACACACATAAAATTTTGCATGAAGTCTTCATTAATGCAAAACCCAAACAAGTGGCTGAAGCAGAGAAAGCTGGAACTGCCAGGGCAGGGATTCCTCCGAGAGAGAGAATCTGCTGGGTGTCAGTGGCCACAGGACACTGCGGCCTCATCTGATAGCTGCAGCATTGTGACTACTGTGGCTCTTGCTCTGCCTGGCTGGCTCGGGGTACACAGGCCAGCACAGCACAGGCTCAGGGCTTCCAGTGTGGTGCCCACAGCTGCACTAGGGCGTCGGCCCTAAGAACATCTGTTGAATGATGTGAGCCTGAATGGTGTGTGGCACCTTCAAGACCCACACTCTGACAGTTGTTATAGCAAAGCCTGGGATGGCACGTTGTGCAGACTCACATGACACAGACCATGTGACAAAGTTGGAGAAGATGTACAAGAAGGAACAGTAAACAGCTCCAAGCCTGGTGACCCAGAACACGGCTCTCTAAACAGCGTGCCCACAAAACATCTAGGCGTGGCAGTATGTCAACGAGAGACCTTGTCCTGAGTGTGTGGACACAGCACATCAGGGCACTGGCCCTCCAGTCTATCACAGAGGCCACAAAACAGCCATTTTATTTACTGCAAGAATTTAGCATTTTTCTTGGCTACTGATACTTTTGAGAGTGAAGTTGTCATTAAATACACGGGAAAGTCAGTGCAATCAGAGCAAGAGAATCAGTATTATAATGGAAGGGCTTATATTCACACTGATGGAAGAAAGAACAAATGCCAGTGCGACAACAGATGTAACTACTTAGAAAAGGAGCTATAACTTCCCAACTGAAACCAAAACGCTCAAATAATTTCAAGATGAAGTAGAGCTAAATTTAAAATAGAACTCTTGTCACCAAAACTATGCCTATGAAGATATGTAAGAAGAAAAACAGCTTATATTAAAAGCTAAATGGCAAGAGAAAAATTCAGACAATGTTTTTCAAAAGTTAGATTTTTATTTATTTGAAAAGCAGGGTGAGGAGAGAGAGAGAGCTCTTCAGTCTGTTGGTTCATTTTATAAAAGCCTGCACCAGCTGGGACTTGGGCTGGGGCTGGGCCGGGGCAAAGCCAGCAGCTGTGGACCCCCTGTCCATGTCTCCCACATGGGAGAAGGGACTCCGGCACGTGAGCCAACACTTGCTGCTCCCCAGGATGTGCACAGCAGGAAGCTGGGTTGGAAGCAGAGGGAGAATTCAAACCCAGGTACTACGCTATGGAATGTGCTTAATATCTGTGCCCAAGAACCCAAACTCAAATTGAAATTCTGATGGAGTCTAGATTATATGAATGTAGGCATTTGTCAAAAACTTAGTAACTGTACACATTAGAAACACATTTTAGTATGTAAATTTTAGCTCTGAAGCAGAAATGAGGGGCCGGCGTGGTATAATAGGTAAAGCCATCGTCTGTGATGCAGACACTCCTTGTGGGTGCTGGTTTGTGTTCCAGCTGCTGCTCATTTGAATCAGCTCCCTGCTAAAGGCCGGAAAAAGGCAATAGAAGATGGCCCAAGTGTCCAAGTGTCTGGGCCCCTCCCACCAATGTGGGAAACCCAGATGAAGCTCCTGGCTTCAGTCTGGTCCAGCTGTGGCTGTTGCAGCCACAAGGGGAATAAACCAAGAGATGGTAGATTTCTGCCTCTCCTCTTCTCTCTTGTTATTCTTGCTTATAAATAAATTTGCTTTTAAAAAATTAGAAATTCTACCAACTATTATAATGAACAATATGCATGCTAAATTATTTAGGGAGAAGCAAATTAATTTTTGCAGTGACTTTTTGATATAAAACAAACAACCAAGGTGAACAGATGAATGGGCAGCTGTGTGACCGAGCAAGTGCCTGGAGTGGTCTGATGATAATGCCAGTTTTGAGTGTGTGAGTATGCACTGCAACCCCTTTCAGCTTTGCTTTCTGCTTGAAATTTTTAATGAAAAGATAAGGGTCCTTAGGAAACTATTAAAAAGTATGCAATCATGCCTTGTTTTCCTCTGTGCTATTTTTCTTTCTTCTCCTAATGTTCAAAAACTTTAAAACAAGGAACTAATGTTGACATTCCTGTTCAAGTTAATAATGAATCCAAATCACACGGACCTTTCCTAACAGGTACATTTTGAAAATGTCCTTATAAGGGACATTGTAAGAAGAAGACGTATCTGCACAGTGACTCCTCACCATTCGAGGTCAACATGCTAATCTGATATTGTTCTTCTGCTAAAACAACAGGTCAAGTGTTGACCTGACAAAAAAAGGTAGACAGATTTTGAAGGAGGATAACAGCCAGACAGTTCCAGCTGCTTTGTGTGACGAGTCTGACTTGGGTGACAGGCACCCAGTCTGGGGCATCATTACCTGTGCTGCTGGTTGATGGCAGCACTCAGCTCTTCCCCTCAGCACTCAGTACATCTGAGCCACATGGGTGCTGCCAGCTGCCAGGAGAAAGACAAGTGTGGGACAGCGACTGCAGGCAGCCATGCTTGCACTGGTGGGAAACATCTGGTCAGCGGGCAAACTCATTCATTCTGACCCTGCCAAGGCAGCCAGCTGCAGGTGGCACTCAATCAATTCAATCAATCTACAATAGGCTAATTCTCAAACGGACAGATACATTTGGCTGGAGAAAGGGCCTTTGGCAGAAGGAAGTTCGGGCTCTTGCTTTAAAGCAAGCAGGTGCTACACAAAAACCAGAGACTGCCTTCCCCAAGAGCCTGACATCCTTCAAACTGCATTTTGGACCAAATTTAAAGAGACAAAGTTCCAGTGTTGAGACTTGAGGTAGAATAACTGAAGGGTAATACATGTTAAAATAACCTTTAAAGGAGATATTTTATGAAAGCATCTTTATATGCTGGAATAAAATGCCCTTTGTACAATGAATGTTTTAACCTCCGAGCTTTCACTTCCTCTATCCAAGGACACAGGCACTATGCTGGAACTCCATGTTCTGTGCTTACCTTGGTCAGCACAGGTGTGTCTGTAGTAGGGCACACCATCTCATCTCTGTTCCACACCTGGCTCTCAGTGTCCCTTCAACTCAGCAGGTGTCCGTGTGTGCAGACAGCCTGAGGGGAGCCCACCACACACTCCTCTCTTGCCCCGGCCCAGCAAGGAGTTGTCACACTTTGAATAATGCTTTTTCTGTCTTCAGATGCTTTTAGATATTTGTTTGTATCTCACAATGTCTCCCTGAAGTTCTTAAAGTCAGCACTACTACACAAGTGATTTTCCTGATCTGTGATGGACTTTATACAATATTGTTCCTGGCAGTTCACTGGACTAGAGTTTCGTTGTTATGAGGATAGCTGGGGGTGGGGGAAGAAAGAAGGTCACAGGTGTAATCTATTATATAGCAACCCTAACCATAACGATATTTGTAGTAGAATTTAATCCCAATTTCTACTTCATGAACAGGAAGCGAGATCTGTGAAGGCTGGAGGTGTGCTCTAAGAACAATTCCTTCTAGAAAACTCTCGTCTTTGAAGGCTGTGTCGGGGCAGTGTGGAGATGGCTCATATACATGAACAGCTAACTGTGAGAACAAAACAGTGCCTAAGGGCAGAAGGAGACATTCAGAGCACAAAGGTGGTGAGTGTTCAGAAGTGGGGATCCCTCCAAGCTGGGGCTCCCACATTTGGAGGGCACTGTGATGCCCTGCAGGTGTGCATGTTCAGAACCACACATCTCAGTTCTGGAGACAGTCTGAGGCAGCGACGGCTGCCGTGTGGCCCTGAGCAGCCCACCTAAGTCTGCAGCTCCTATGGCAGGATTTCTATGCAGGGTTATGGCCATCTGAAACCTCCTTTAGATGGGTCAGGAGAATGGACAATGACCAAGCAACAAAATTACGGTATGCATAACAAAACACGTGTGACGAAAAGTGGCCTGGCCTCAACTGAGAGGGCTCCTTCCCTAACCTTCTCCACAAGTCAGGATACATAGAGGATAGAATGGGTTCTGTGCTGCAGCGACTTGAGTACTTTTCAAGATGTGAGAGGCACAGTGTAAGACAGGGAACTCTGGGCGGTGACTCAAGGACTAAGGCACATGGCAAGGTCTCTGAGGTAATGAGTGGTAGGGATAGGCTGAAATCCAAGGCTCCTGGCAGCCTAAAGATCTTTCCAAAAAGATTCTGTGGATTCATATCCCTTCTTTTCCATTCAACATTGCCCCAACATTCTTTGTTTTGACTTCTTTATTGCTTAGCGAGTATTCAAGTCCCTTTCATTAAAACTCTGCCCATATGACTCCACTGAAGCTATTTCTACATTGAAAAAAAAAAACCAAGATGACCTTGACTGTCAAATTTACCAACATTTTTCTTTTATAATTCGTGCACACTAGATATTTAAAAACTTGTAAGCTGTCCAGTCATGGTCACAAAGATTTTCTTCTTTTAAAAACAAAAAACTTTAAAAGTTTGCTTTTTCACACTTAGGTTTTTGCTTGATCTGGAGTTAAATTCTGCTATCTGGGGTGAAGGAGGAATCCAGTGTGTCTTGCTGAGGGGACAGCCCCCTTTTCTCAAGACCATGTGCTGCCTAATCATAACCTCTAATATCTGTAACAAGTTTCTCCATCCTCTGGGGGCGGCTCTGGCTCCCTGCGTCGTGTGCCAGCCCAGCACTCCTGATTCTGTGTGAATCACCACAGCTGTGTAATGGCAGTTCCTCTCTGTCTAGGAAAGGGCTCCTAGGGTCCTTTGCTCTATCAGAAATCTCCCAGAATCATCTGGTATCTGAAGCATTACTGCCTTAAAAGGATGAATACTATCAGATGGAACTGATATCTTTGCAATGTAGAGACTTTCTCTGAACACAAACTTTCTATTTACTCTTCAATACTCTTTAAGGACTTTTCTCCCCCCACAAAAAAAGTATAGAGTTACGGGGGGGGGGAGGTCAAGCAAAGAAGGCAGATTAAAGAGAGATCTACCGACTGCTGGTTCATGCCTTAGGTGGACATAATAGCC